GACTTTTGTGTACTCCATGTGGTATTATAATCATCATATTAGTTTTGAAGATTGTTAAAATGAAGAAGTCATTTAATTGGCAGAAATAATTCATTCTTCCGCTTCACTTGGTTTCCATAAAATGTTAACTACATTTTTCTCCTTAATAATTCCAACTTTCACGTTTCAGTCTCCAACCTCAAGCAACACATCTTGATTGCGGTTCTGTTGATTTCAAGTTGCACTTGATCATTTCTAAATGTGATATATGAATAAATAAATTATAAAATGCAACCACCTCCTCTTCTTCTGCATCAATAGTTGGAGCATAAACTTCTGTATTTTTTATTATTAAAAAGTTGTCCACAAAATCTAATTGATATAATTTGGTCATTAAATGCATAAAGTGTATTGTTTTTGTTATCCTTCCTAATTAAAGAAAGCAGCATTGTTCCTTGTTTTGTTCCATTTTGTTTTCCATGTTTTAAGCAATAGATAGCATTATCTTTAACTGAAAGTGTCCAATTCCAGTCTACTTAATGTGCAAATGCCTAACATGCCAGTGTGTCTGGTGGGTTCAATTCTTCTTCCAATGTGTTCCACATTCACATTTCTTAGGTTCCATGTTCCCACTATAATTGTCTTTTCAGCTTCAGATTTTATTTTCCTGTATAGCATCATCAACAAATTAGATGTTCCAAGGCTTTTATCTACTTTTGTAATAAACACTAAGAACTTCCTTAGTAGTATGTTGATCTAACCTGGAGGCCCTTCATCTGGACTGTATCATCAGTCATCTTATACTTTCTATCCTGCAGCTTTTTTGGTAAAGTACAGAGTGGTTTACTGTTGCCTTCTCCCATGTAAAATGAAATTATGCCTTTGTCATTGTTACTAAAGTGACTGTCCACCTCAAGCATCTTCCTGCATCATGGATAAATACCTGGTTGTTTTAGCTATTATCAGCTGGGATGGCCTTTTTGCCTTAGGTAACCCTACTGTGATTATAAATTCTTGGCATACACTCCCAGTCTTCTTTGCCCCTCCTCCTACACCATGATGAGGTAGGAAGCAGAATGGGCAGGGGAAGCAGATCTGTTATTAATATTAGACTACCTATTATTTTTCTATTTTCTTGTGTAGAGTTCTGCCTTTATGGTATTACCCAAAATTGAGGCAGCACTAATTGTAGTTAGTCTTCTACTTATAAATGCCTTTATACTGATTTTTAGTGAGAAATGTTTTATTGATTGGCCTCAAATTAGACAATCATCAACAAACTTTAGTTTCAGAGGAACTGGGGGAAGATAGCAAAAACTATCTTCCTATTGTTTTAGCACATGAATAAGAGGTTTCTGCTTTTCTGGAATCCTAGAGAGACTTGCATGCTTATAACCAACCTGGGGCTGTTGTGCTGTGTTACTAGTTAAAAAGTCCTGTAATGTAGACATTCTATGGCAATTCTGTTTTTCACTTGCACCTTTGTTCATATAGTTCTAGATTTATCACATTAGTTGTTTGCTGTTTTCTGTAGTTCGATCTCCTCTGGGTATTGATGTTATCTTACTAGACTTTTTTGAAAAAAATAAATTGTCAGCATTTAGCAGGACTTACTATTTTCTAGTTTTATTTTCTAAAATTCAGTTTATATTAATACTATAAGATACAAAAACACAAAAACAAATAATAGGAAAAGTAGGGGAAAAGTGTAGAAAAGAAGGGGAAAAGAAAGGAAAGTCGTTGATTTCCGACTCCCTTTGGTGCAGTACAATAAGATAATAACATCAAACCTCAACATTTTATTTTTACAAAATAGTATAAACTAGCCATTTGTATAACAACAATCTTATCTCATTGGTGAAACCCAAAATGAAAGTTTCATTTTTTTCCACTTCAGAGGCAAAGCCTAGAAGTGGCTTCCAAGTAGAAAAAAAAGTAGTTATATAGGTAGTCCTTGGGTTATGAATGTAATGGAGCCTGCCCCATTCCATTTGTAACCTGAGGATTCGTGGCAGTGAATCTTGTACCTTGAACGGGATCACTCCTTTCTTTTGCCCACACATTTGCTAATTGAATGGAAGGCTCGTTAAATGCACATGAGATATTTCATGGTGGGGAAGGCCATGGGATAGGCCACCTGCTTAAACCACCCCAGGCCTACCCGATCCACTGAAATATCTCATGTTCCCCACAATTGCTTCCCCCCCCCACCTGACGCATCGGATGACTTACCGTGCGAAGATCTAGCAAGCTGTCTCCTCTCAGCCGCATGTGCCCCACCGCAGCTCCATTGTGCAGGCCTCGCCCGGCACTTTGGAGGCCAAAATTGAGCATTTGAGAGGCGGATCTGCTCCCCAACACTCTGTTTTGGCCAGCAAAGTGTGGAGCGGAGAGGAATAGGCAGGACAAATGTTGCAGAGCCTCTGCAGTTGTTTGTAAGGGCGAACAACTGCTGTGGTGCTGCAACATTTGTAGTCTGGGGACTTATTTGTACACACTAGGGAGTGCTTATCGCGTAACTTCAAACATTCACTAAGGGAACACTTGTAACCCGGGGATTACTTGTATTTTTGTCTTTAATCAGAGCAGTCAGTTTAGCCATCTCTACTAACATCAACTTCTACAGCCATTCATCCATTATGGAAATCAAAGTGACCTTCCATTTTTTGTGCATAAAGTAATCTTATTGCCATCAGCATATATAGCATCAAAGTTAAACAAAAAAGCATTAGCAGACGATTCTAACACATGTTTAGTATGTGTTTATGAAGTAGATGGCTACACAAAATTGTATCACAGATTATTAGGACTGCAGAAAAATCCTGATTAGATTTATTAATATTCATTATATGATATTCCTAAGCAGAAGTAAGACAGCATGAAGGTTATAGTATCTATAGTGTGGAACAGCTTTACACTGCCCAGAATTGCTGAAGAGCAACAAGCAGACTTGTGACCCAGAATTGGATTGGGTTATATTTTAAGATGCACAGTTGCCTGCTGCAAAGCAGATTTTAGACATGCTTCACATCAAGAGCTGTCCTCAGCTTCTGCCATTTAGATACAGTAAAGTTGCTTCCATCTCTTCTGAGATAATATATTTTGTAACATGATTCTAAGGGGTTATTATAAAGTTGCTGTAAAGTTGTATGAGTGAAAGGTTGGGGGAAGAGAGATTGAAGTAATTTATATGTGAGAAACTAGACAGAGAGACACCTGCACACTACTTATTTTGCAGACTCAGCTTTTTGTAACCTCACCTAATAATGTCATCCATGATATTATTTAACTATTTCTCTGCTAATTGAAAACAACTTGTTCCCAAACTTGAAACAAATCCCTTCAAAACTTCATGACATTTCTATAATGCATTTTTTCCAAAATAGATCATGTGTTGGGCATATTCCACACTGTTTCATTGAAAGAAAACAGAGGAAGTTCAATAACTATTGAATAAAATGAACTCGTGTACTCTTTTAGCATTACTTGAAGTTCTGTTAGTTTGAAGAGCACCTACTATTTGATTCCATCAGGAATTTTTCTTCAGAATTCTGTTGAATGTAGTGTACTTACTTAGGGTTTTGAATATTGTGAGGCTTAAATCTAACCTTTGGAACATGAGCAACTGACAGGGAGAGGCAAGATAATATTAGCAGTGAACATGTTAGTGAGTTTTGAGATACTAGTGTATGGGCATGTGTTAAGTGGCACTTGAGTTTTTATCTATCTGCAGTCCATATAAACAAGCAGTAGAAGAAAATAATACTGCTAAAACTCATGATCTGCCTTAATTATACAGGTTTAAACTGACATGTTTTGCAGTAAAAACAACAGAAGCTTGTACTCAAGCCCATTTGGAAACTACTACATTTTTCAGTTAATGGCTTTGAATATAACTGATTTGGATTTATAAGTAGAGATTACTAATTTGAATGTGTTACCTTAGCTATCAGGCTGGAATTGATGGAAAAATATAAAAGTTTCAAATACATTATGATTCAAACATTATATATCGAAATATAGTTATAATTGAATAGTCTCTGCCCTTTCTATGCAAACTTGCTCATTAGTTCAGGTATAGTGTATTTGAGATTCTTACCCTCAGTACAGTACAGAGAAGTTAGGAAGAAAATGATACCTTGTAGATGGCATTATAAATCAAGAAATCTATGAAAAATACTATGGGTGTTTTCTAAAACCCTACTATCTATGACATTATTATGAATAGCTGTAGCATATAATTTGTAAGCCATTTCATACTGATCATGTATCATCTCCCAAGTTTTTGGAACAATTATTATTCTAAACTGATAGCCAAATATGAAAATGATAATAGCATATTCAACTGCTTTTGTGTTATCACATCTGACATCATATGATAGCTGTTTTACAATTTTATTAACAGTTCTGAACTTACGTTCAGGACCTTCTATTCTCTTTTGAAGAATAGAACAAAATATATTGTTCAATTTTTTTCCTGCATAATACAGTAACAGAATGCTTTTGAAACTGAGAAAAAAAAACTAAAAAAAAAATTCTGAAATTTGCAACATGATTTGATTTTGGATTTTGTTTAGTTTGGTGGGGACTGCATAGATCTAGATATATATTAAATTCTAACACTTTCAGTATTTAATATCCACGGAGGCTCAAATTATTAGCTTCACTGGCAGTTTCTGCAAAGAAAGGATGGTAGATAAAGGCTGATTCTATGACTGCCCATGAATTCAGACTTTGGAGCCCCTCCCCTTTTTTTTCAGTGAACAGATAGCCTGGACATTCTATCCAATCCTGGTGAATCTGCAGTTCTACATATTCAATTTGGTATAAATTGAAACATGACATTAAGTTTTCTTATTTTGGGTGGTCTAAAGAAGAGATACCAATTGCACCAATTGTGTAATGTGATTAGGTGTAATGATTCAATCAGAAATGGAAATTGCATTTTCTGTACAGAAATCTAGTTTTTTTCAGTAATGAGCATACCATTCTAATATTTGACTTTCCTCCATTTTTATTAGAACATTCAACTCCGGCCAAAGTGGTGAAAGCAGCAAACCTAAGGCAACGGAAAGGAAGCAAGGTATGTCTTTTATCCACTAATATCTACATGAAGGAGGGGTGAATGGAGGCATGATACATCATAATGGACTGGTTAGCTCTAGAGAGAACTTTAATGTGACATTAGGATCCTTAATGCATCACTTTACATTTGCTCAAACGCAATCACTTTCTCAAAACTGATTTGCAATTTAACAGTCACTTTTAGTTTTCAAAATCTTGACTTATTTTAGAATAATCCATAAAGATTATTTACCCCTGAGTCATTTAGAACAGGGGTCGCCAACCTTTTGGACCCCAGGGACCACCAAACTCATAATTTTAAGTCCCGCGGAGCAGAGACCCTGGGAAAATCCCCAAAAAAGTCTGCAGGAAAATTCCCCACCCCGTTTTCCTACCGATCAATCATTCTTTATTTGGGATCTCAGGATACCGTCTCCAGCTCTGTTCTCAGGGGGAAAGAGAGAGAGTCTTTTGGCTTCATGCAAGGAAAACATCAGAAGTCTTTCTTTCTCTCCCCCAAACTCCACCAGAATGGTGCAGCCTCTTGGAGCAGGGTGCCTTGCAGGGTCCCAAAGACTCATTTCTGGTGGTTTGAAGGAGAGAAAGAAAGACTTCTGCTGCTTTCCTTGCATCCAGCCAAAAGTAGAAGAAGGCAGAAAGAAGCAGCCCGGTGTCCAGGCAAGGCCCATGGGCGACTGGGGCAAGTTCCCTCCCTCCTCCGCCTTTCCTGCCTCCCCTCATTATCTTGTGTTGTTCGCAATGCAAGCCTTGTGTTCCCATGGGCTATGTGGGCGGCGCAGCCTCGTGTTCCCACATAGCCTGGATTAATTGCTTTGGGGGATGCTTTGGGGGGGGTGACATTTCTCTGTGGACCACCAAAATTTTCTCGTGGATCACCAGTGGTCCCGGCCCATTGGTTGGTGGCCACAGATTTAGAAACATTGCTGTGGCTTGGTTCTTTAAAGGACTCCATTTTTTTCTTCATTGATAAAATTGCCCATTTATTCTTACTTTTGTGCTTTCTGTCTTTTTAACTGTTTAGGAATGGGTAACAGAACAGATCTTATCACATGCTCAGCATTTACTCAAAAATAGTCAAAAAGAACTTTTTCAAAAAAAAATTTTAAAAATCCAAATATGCAATGTCAATAGATTCTTGACACTCTCAAAAATCTCTAGAAGATTGGTGAAACAGTATTTACTCTTCCAGAATCTGTGCTAATTTTCTATAGTGTGTTTTATTATTAGTTTTTTTAAATTACTATTTCTAACAACTGATTTGGAATAGACATTATTGATAGACATATAACTTCATGAATCTCCGCCAGTCCTTTGTAAAAACTTGGTGTTGCATTTTTCTATTCACGATTTAGTTTTAATAACTTTGGTAAACACCGCCCAGAACCCCTCTACACTCCCTAGAGTCCCTCTCTGAAGGAGATGGGCAGTTAAGAAATCTGAAATACAAGTAAATAAATCAGCATCTGAAGATTTGTTTCTGAAGATATCCAAGAATCTCTTTGTTACTTACAGTTTTATTAGTTAGATTCCTTCCCTGAGTAAGTCAGTATGGGTACAGACATTTATCCCATATCTGTTACAATGAAGACCAAATGGAAAAAAAATCCATGTACTTCATCTGTAATCTCCATATCCTCCTTGAATATTTCTTACCCTTTGGGACATCCAACAATACAGCCTGGCCAGAATCTTGCTCCAGTTAATTTTTCAATATATTGTTGCTGCTTCCCCCTACTTTTTGCTTTGCTTTTCTCAAAAGTTCACGGTGATGTTCCTTTATTTTCTGCATTGCTTATTAAAACTTGACACTGTTTGTGCTTTTCCATTCTCTTTCTTAAAAAACGATTTTTATTTCTTGAAGTTTTGCCATAGTCTGGGTGGTACTAGAGAGCAATGCTGGCTTCTTTTTATCTTTAGGTGGCCTTCTCTTACATTGTTGGATGCTTTCCAGTTAAATCCTAATCATTGTGCTTTTGAAAAACGTCCAAACATTATGAAGAGATTTAGCCTTCTTGTCTCTTCCTCTCAGTGTCTCTCAGAATTACCCTAATTTAGCAAAAGTTTCCTTTTCATACTCAAATGTGATTGCTGGAAACTGTTTCCTGTTGACATTTATGCTAAATGTAAATAGCATATTGATTATTTTCAATTATATTTTGTTTCATCAAAGAGTGCATCAGGTGATGGAATGAAATCATAGATTAAGATTAAATTTAATTGTTTTCACCTCTGGATCTTCCAGGACCATCTGAAATATCTAGGAATTTGGACTTGTTGTGGCCTGAACATGAATTGTTATAAAAATGTAGCTTTTGTTATTATAAAACTATATCCTTTGTATGACTGATTTTTCCCATCTAACAGTTATCTAAGAGTGACCAGATTCTTTTCATTAGCTTCATTCTACCAGTTTCTTTTTAAATGCATGCTGTAAAGTAGATAAACTTGTTAGTTTTTTAAAATCTCTATCCTTTTTTTGCTAATGAATTCGTGATAAATATGGTACATGGTTTCTTTTAAGAACTGGTGACTGTGAGTGAGATGGGCAGTCTCTAAATTTAAAATATAAATAAAATAATATAGCATTAGAATAAAGACAGGAAGCTTGTAGGAACAAGGTCTGTGATTTTTGTGTTAGAGAAATACTAGGACTAGATTGATTAAACCCTAAAATTTCCAGCAACTGTATCTGATGCCACAATATTCCCTTATTTAGCCAAACTAGGTTGTACAACTGCACTTCTGTTATTTCGACTGTGAAGACTTGCCCATTCAGCTTCCCTCTCTAATCATTAGTTCTGTAAATTCAGTTCTCTCTTGCAACACAACAGAACCTGTATATATACAGAAGCCATCTTTGAGAGATCCCACCTACTATGGATCCAGTTTTTACTCGGGAGGATATTTTCCAGAATTATTGTTTTTTCATCTGAGGAAGAGAACAGTGGTTCAGATTTACAGAGGACATAGTGCTTTACCTTCTGTATATTTATTAATTTATAGATTTATATGGCCTCCCAATCAAAATTCAACTCTTAAGTGGCTAATATCAATAAAAATAAATTGAAAAAGAATAAAAGAAAATACTTTCCACTTTCCACCCAGCCCCTTAAAAATGCAATAATCATAATTCAGAATGTGATGGGTCCATTGCTCATGGAAAAATCTGGAACTTTAACACCCCACAAAAGGCCATCAAGGTCAGGGCACCCCAGTTTTGTAGGATATGCTGTTCCCTAAGCCAGGTACTATGACCAAAAAAGAGCACACTTTACTAGTCCCATTAGCTGACATAGTTTAATAGAACTGGATCATGGCCACATTGCCAGATATTCCTTATGGGATGAAGATAAGACATTGGAGACTGGTCTTGCAAATAAAATTGGCCATTTGCTGTGAAGAGAGTTATAGCTGTTAACCAGCAGTTTGAATTGTTCCTGGAAGTCCACTAGGAGCCAGTGCAGCTCACAGAGTAGAGATGATAGGTGGATAAACTGAGGCAAAACTATAACTACCTATGCTACTGAATTCTGGACCAGTTGCAGCTTTGGAATAGTTTTTAAAGGTAATCCCATGCAATAGTCCAAATGGAAACAATCAAGGTACGAGTGATAGTAAATAGGGCTTCCTAATTTAAGAGGAGCAGTTGGCACACAAGATGGATTTGTGCAAAGGTTCTCTTGGCCATAGTTGTCACCTATTAATTGAGCAAGAGTATAAGAGGACTAGTTCTGTTAGGGGGTGCTACCTTGATTAGAGCCAAAGGTGAAGTGCTTAGTTCAGTTTACCAGAGTTGAGCTTGTAACTATTCCTTTTCATCCAGGCTTACACATCTTCCAGACACTGAGAAAGCATCTTGATACATCACTTTATTGAGTCAGGGGAGAGATGTATAGTTGAGTCTCATCCGAATATGGTTGGTACCTGTCCCCTTGATGTCAGGTGACCTCACTCAAGAGCACAGGTCTCCAACCTTTTGGGCCTCAGGGACCACCAAACTCATAATTTTAAATCCCACAGACCACTAATATAAATCCAGCATGCCTCTTGCTGAAGCGCCTGGACTCCCGCTAACAGGATGGGGTCCTTCAGGCACTTAGCTTGGCTGCCTGTTTCTGCAACCTTAAATTACTCAAAAGAGTCATTTGGATCCGTTTCCCACAGAAAACAAAACACCGGGATCTCTCATCTCTCTCTTTCCCTCCCCCTCCCTTTCTCCCCCTCCTCTCCCTTTCTCCTTCTTTCTCTCTCTTTCTCTCTTTCTCTTTCTTTCTCTCTCCTCCTCTTCTCTGTCCGTGGGGGTGCGGGGAAAGGAACCTCTGAACTGGTGCTGGGTGGTGGGAATCTGATGTCTGGAGGCCGACAAGCCACATGCCAAAGTTCAGATGGCTGTTGGGGAGGTGTGGCAATAGGGGTGATACCGTCGGCAGATGGACTGATATGCATGGGAGATCGTGTCATCGGAGCCCTTCCTGGGTGTTCCCTGGCCTGTGAGGTTAGGCCGCAATCTCCTGTGCCCCTCCCCTCAGGAGCTTCTCTTCCTGCTCGCCAGAAGCGCCCACGCAAAGCACTCACCGCCCCTCTGGCACCCGCCAAGCCTCCTTCCCGCTGGGTATGTGAACGCTTCTGGCAAGGGGGAAAAGAAGCTCCTGAGGGGAGGAGTCGATCCTCCCACTTGCAACATCTTCACCTCAGGGCATCGCTGGCAACTGCTTCCTGCAGCTCAGGAGGTCTGCACTCTTCCTGCTGCTGCTCGGCCTCAATGCACGGAGGCAGCAGCCATGACACAGATTTGCTAAGGAGACTGCAGGATTGCTCCACCAGCCATCTGGTCTTCAGCACGTGGCTCATCGGCCTCCAGACATCAGATTCCCACCACCCAGCACCAGTTCAGAGGTTTCTCCCCACTCCCAGGCAGGCCAGGGAACACCCATGAAGAGCTCCGATGCCGTGATCTCCCACACACTACCCTCCCCACGTACATCAGTCCACCTCCTGCTGGTATCACCCCTGTTGCTGCGACCCACCAAAAAATTTTCATGGACCACCAGTGGGTCTCAGCCCACCGGTTAGCGACACTGCTCAAGAGCATATCGGTTGTATTGTAAGCTGTTGGGAGATCAAGGAGCACTTCTTCTGAAACCTACAGTCAGCTCCACTGGACTTGAATATCTGGAGTGCAGTTCAGAGTTGATTCAAATGATTTTATTTTACAGATGCCTAAAAAGTTACTTGCAGCAGTTTTGCAGGGGTTTATCCAGTCTCCCCAAGAGGAGTTATCTGACCTAAAAGGGTCACTGTTGGGCAATTTTCAGATATGATGCAAACAAATAAGTACTTACATTTTGTCATTCTTGGCACCTTTGGGTAATCTTTAATAAAATCCATGTTCAGTCAGATGTACTCCTTATCTTCCTCCAACAATACTCTAGGTGTTTCTTTCATTTTATTTCCCAAAGGGCTATCTAGGATCTACAATCAGGAAGCAGCCACAGAGTACAATCTGATCCAAAGCCCATTGCTTTGTTCCAGGTTATGAATATTCAAAGTTTTAAGACCTCAGTCACCTCAAGTACTAGAATGTTAGGGAAACCCCAGGCTCCCCTGAAACCCATCTGCAAAGGACTGACAAAATAGATCCTACTGCTTGAGTTAGGAAACAGCCCAGAAATACTCCGACACAGCAAGTGATGTCCATTATGACAAGGAATTATATCCATTTACCCCATAATTAGATTGCATCACATCACCTCTGCCCCCAGACAAAAAATGATCACAGCTGTAGGTCAGTCATCACATTGGCCATGAATTCTAAGCCATGTTCAATTTCACACCTAGAAAAGTCAAGATTGAAGTGTCTCAAGTCTATGAATTTAGAAAATTCTGCTCCCAACTTGGCCACAGGGTCAAACAACTATATCAGGGAAGCAGTAATCCCAAATGATCCTTCAGGTCCAATTTTACAAGCAGGGTTTTTCATCCAGATACCTATGGTGCAGCATCCCTGAAAGCCATAGAATTCTCCCTGATACTGATAGCCACTCTTCCATCCATACCATGGGATCACATCTGATGCCATACTTGAACCTCACAAGGGCTAATTTCTGAGTTTGGAGGAATCCCCTTCCATGCTCAATCAGGTTTTGATTATACATGCTAGCTTGGCTCTTTTATGATTGAATTGTGTAAGGGGAGAGAAGTCTTATTACAGGCATTATTAATGGTGCAAACTTTCTTCCAGTAAGAGAAACTGCTTACTCACCAATACTTGTGATTACCATTCTTCTGCTCTTGCATCCTTTACCACAATTTCTTCCCTTGCATTCCCATTTCCTGATGCACTGGAAACTTTTGGAGTGTTCTGTAGGGCAAGTTTAATTCTTCTTCAGTAATCCTTTTTTGTGATGCTGTCATCTTAAGGATCCACTTAATTCTTTGCATTTTTGAAAATTTGCTTTGCTCCTGATGCAAGTCATGAAGTATTTGTAAATAAACTGGTGGCTCCCATTAAACTCTCCCTCCCATTCTGTGTTTAGAAAAATATTCAGAGGGGAAAAAGTAGATGACTCAGGCAAGAAAACATACTGGATTTAAACTATTCTATGTATTCAGGAAGCTGGTCTCAGTTTTGTGGTCCTCTGCATTGGCTTTGAGTAATGAACAGGAACAGTGGGATCTTCTCTCTTTGTGTATATGTAGTACAGAATACAGAATCTGTCACTGATGATTAGTCAATTTATAATTACATATAAGCCACATGATTTTTCCTAGTCTATGGAAAATAATTAGGCTTCTCTTGTTTTGCAATGTAACTCAAAATAACTTAGAAAATTCTCTATTAGGTATTGTGTAAATATCATAATGCTCACCAGGTGGCACTGTGTCGAAAAAATAAATAAATCTTGAATTTATTAAATGTATTTCCCATGGAGTCATCGGTTAGTTGTGCACAAATACTAGAATAAAAAATTAAAATAGAACATTACTGTATTTTTAAAACAAACTTTTAATAAAAAAAGTCTGCCATAAAGTGGAAACCCCCCTACAAATAGAAACACAGGCATATAGAGAGGCATCAATAATCTTCATAAAGGGGAAAGTGGTTTTGCCTTCACTCACTTTTTCTAAATAATGAGCTAAGTGACATCTCACAAAAAAAGGAAATTAAAATTAGAAACTTATGAAGGTGAAGTTACATACATTTTAGGCAACGAAAGTTGAAAAACAGAGAAGGTCTACTGAAGCAGAAATGTAAAGATAGTAAAGTAGATATTGCTTGATTTACTACCTGCCCTGAAGCAGAAAGACATTTGTGGAGGGGCGCTGAGGGTCTTGTGGAGGGTTGGGGAGATATTTTTCATAATTTTAGAATTAAAAATTCTGTCTTTCTGTATCACAGAGTACCAAATAAAGGTGTCTGTACCTGGTGGGAATGCTCTATAATAATATTACACATCTGAAATGCCACTAGAAGGAATAAAATATGTATTTATAAGTGTTTAAATTTGGACTTGTGTAGACGTCAAAATTGACTTTACAGAAGGTAACTTGACTGTATTCTCTGTATCAGGTTGGTGACTTTGGGGATGCCACAAATTGGCCAACGCCAGGAGAAATAGCTCACAAGAGTATACAGGTAAGAACATATTATGATTCCGGGGGGGGGGGGGGGGGGGGGGTGTTCCACATCTGTTTGGCATGTTTGTGAACTGAATGAAAAATATTGTCCAACTCAATAAATTCTCTTGTTTAAGAGGGGTGTTTCTTACCCACGAAGCAGCTTGTTAAAATGTCAGCAAAGTCTTGTTTCATTTTCATATTTTTGTGCTTATTGGTTGATGCTATTTGATTAAAATAAAATCTGAGTATGTTCTAGAAGGAAGATATTTCTCTATTATGCTGGATGTGTGGATTTTGTTTTATTTTTGTCTTTTTGCTATTATTGATAATTGTAACATCTACTACTACAGATACTTAAGAATTACAATTCTTCAAAGCAGCAAATATTCCAAAATCTACAATAAAATAATCTTCAAGTAGCTTCTGCTGCTCTTACACCATATTATTCAGTATAGCTTACACCCAGTAGTTTTCCATTTCATTCTAGGACAGAAAATGCCCAGAACTGGCTATTGTTTTTGGAGCTTTTGGTGTTAGACGTACATACGGGTAAATTATAATAGAGACATGCAAATGGAAAAATATACAAATACATACATATACATACATACATACATAGTATGTGTATGTATGTATGTAAAAGATTCATATGACAACTATGGGCAGTTAACATCAATCAAACCCTATAATAATGTAAACAGTTCTCTTCACGCATACCCAAATTAAAAGCAATCATATTCTAAGCAGGCAGCATAACAATCCCAAATTACTATATATATGCTGAACTCGAGTCCTTTCTGGGTTGACTCTTGGATGAAGCACAAGTTCTTACAGCTTTCTGGAAAGCTAAGAGGCTTATACATGCTCACACAACATAGAATTTGAAATGAAGAGGCCTATCATCCTGTGTACCATCCTTTCTTCAATATTTTTTTGTTTTTCCTTCCCTTGATTATTTTTTCTTTCAAATAAATAATACTTTTTACTTTCATTTTCCTGTTTTTTTATTGCAAACTTTTGGGTGATGACTGTGGTAAGCCTGTTTTCTTGTAGTATATGTAAGCACTCGTCATTCACATATCCAAAAAAGAAATCATCATCACTAGAGGTCCTCACTACTTGAATAACTTTTATCCACCAAGTTTCTTTGTTCATATAATCTGGATGTATTTGGATCGTATTCCCATCTTTCATTTGCATATTTCCTATATGGAAATTCCTTGGTATATAAAAGCCTGCAATGTTCTTTCCAAACATTATGCCACAAAGGAAAATAACCAGTTGAACTTAAAAAAAAACCCTTATATTATTAAAATTAATTTGAAGAGAAATTGGGATTTAGAAAACTGTACACATGTGAGTGTATATATGCATTGACAGAAGAGAGGAACAAAATAGCTACATTTCACATTTTACTGATCTTCATGTATGCATCATTATATCAAAAGTAGCATAATTATATAATGAAAAAATTATCCATTTAAATATAGTCTACCTGGGCATGGTTGAGTGAATGGAAGAGAGAATAAAAGGGGACTGCAGGAATCTCTCTTCATGCTTCAATATAGACACTATTTTTTCCCCATTACAGAACTTAAAAATTCAGTTTGAGCAGCACTTTTGGGGGGTGCTAACTCTGTGCTTAGGAGAAGGCCAGGAATAGCTCATTACAGGTTCCAGGCAGAGGATTTCCTTTTAGGGTTTCCCTGCCCACCATCATCCCTAGCTCAGCAATGCTATTCTGGGACAGGAGCCTGGAACTCATTCTAAAACCTAGCCAAAGTGAAGGGAAGATGATGCACTTACTATGTGGCAATGTTGAGATTGCTGTCAAAAAAAGTGGGTTAAGAAACTGAACTTCTTAAACTGGCATTATGCTCTTGGCTCCCTTTAAAGTAGATGCAACAAATACCCAGAAGTAGAACATGAGTGCAAAAATGTTTGAAGCATATTTCTTGCTTTGGACTTCCTTTTGTTTTGGCAGGAGAGTGTCAGCTTTACAACTTTGTAAAATGCTCTCAGGCTTTCTTTATCTTCGTCTCCTGCCCGTCTTCATTGACGAAATGTGGGTCTTAATTAGGTTTCAAAATGATTTAGAAACTATGGGGAAAGTCTTGCTTTTGCAATATATGTGTTTCAAGTATGCACGTTCCCCTCTAATTTGCAAATAGTTTCTTTAAAAAACATGTTTTTGGGAACAAACTACTGCTTTATAATTGCAGTAATGTACTTGACTTCAAGCTAAGCTATATGATATTATTTAAGGTGTTAATGGCTCCACATAGGAATAAATAAATAAAAATCAATATCTTGAGGTGAGAATGTAGATAGGATTGCTACTTTGCTAAATTATTTATGATTATCTTTTCCTGCACCTCTCCCATTTTCAGCAGTTGTCACAAAAATCCCAATCTCTACGGAAACTTCATATTAAGAAAAATATGAGGGAGCAGGAGAAAGGGGAAGGAAGTGATGGCAAAGAGAACATGAAAACTCGATCTGATGAATCAGGAGAAGAGAAAAATGGAGATGATGACAACCAGAAATTGGCTCAGAAGAAAAAGGGTGAGAAAAAGTTGTCTTTGGGCTCTTGGCAGATGAGTTAGTATGGCAACTCTAGACTTTCTATCAACATTGCTGTCGGCAGAGCCCTTTATTGATAAAGAGGACTGTAGTTCCAGTGCATTAGGAATTAATGACTACATACTTCATTGACTGTGGACATAAACATGAGGGAAAATGTTTATTTAATAATGAGGAGGAATCTTCTTCCCCAAGTGTTTGTTTTTTGGGGGGAAAATATAAGTTTCTTAAATCAGAAATAAAACTGTAGTTGTTAAGATAACATTAATGAACACTAACATTACAACAACAACATTCTGAAGTATATTAGAATGAAATAATAACAAGCTTACGGTCATCTAATAAAAATTGAGAGCTGAAAAAGGGTTTGAATCTGACTAGAACAGAAAAGAAAACATACTAAATTACATGCTATTAGAGTGATCTACAAATCCAGGATTCAACATAAAACGCTTTATGTAAGCATCAGAAGAAGTAATTCTTATACTGAAGCAATCCAATTTCAAGTACAGGTTCTTCAGATTCTGGAGAAAAAATTAAACTTGCATATCTACCTAGAAATCACAAAAATGTCTATTTCTTTGAAGTGGAATCCCCAAATAATTAACAGAGATTAAATCAGCAGAGAAAAATGTTCATGCAGAAATGAAATCTAAAAGCAAAGCTGCCTGCCTTCTGTGCCTTTAAGAACTGTATCAGCACGAAAAGATAGCAGGAATAACCTGAGAGTTCAAAAAACCAATTATGATCAGGACATCAGAATGCTTGGCCTAGCAACAACGTGATCTGTTATTCCTGTTCTATCTGTTGAATCCTGCAGACAGGACCTACTGAATGTATTAAAATGAAAGACTGAACCAGAATATTGTTCCTACTTCAATTCATAAAGCATGCCTTTTCTGAGGGCAGATGTTTACTTTTGTCCTATATCTTTGCTTACTATGAGAAAAAAATAATAAATGGTTACTATTGTAAAGATATGCTATAGGATGCAGACAATAGATACAAGATAATGGATCAGCATGGGGGGGGAAAGTGGCCAAGTTATATATTTCTAATAGACTGTACTTTGAACATACTTTGATAAGATTTTAAATTTTATTGTTTCAAGATAATAGAAAACTGTTTCTCAGTATTACAGGTGATCCTTGATTAATAACCATTTACTCAGTGACTGACTGGATTTACAATAACATTGAATGAATGGTGCTTACGATTGGTCCTCAAGAGTTCCAGCCATTGCAGCATCCTTGTGGTCATATGATTGCACTCTGGGCATTTAGTCTATTGCAAATGTTGCAGCATCCTGCGGTTACCATTTGCAACCTTCTTTGCCTGACTTCCTGCAAGCAAAGTCAATGGGGATTCTGGCAAGAGGTATAAATGGTGACAAGGTAGTCTTGCTTAACGATGGCAACCAGAAAATGCAGCAGCTGTCATAGCTAAGCTACATAACTATGTGATGCCAGTTAGAAAGCAACCAGGATGTTGGAAACTGAACATCTTTTTTACCCAGACTCAAACTTCTCTCCATTTCATTTTCATGTGTGTGAAAGTATTATTCATTGCTGTTCCGGGAGTCCGAAATATTTTGACAGTTTGTGTCATTTTTCATATTTGCATCCTTAGAAGATTAATCCTAGACAATAGTTTTTGTATTGCAGGCAGTAGACACAAATGGGTACCTCTGCAAATAGATATGAAGTCTGAAGTGCCAAGGGATAAAACCGCTTCTCGTAACAACAGACAGAATGAGCAGCACCGGCATCCTTCCAACAACCGAACTGAATCAAAAGGTATGAGTTGAATATCTTTGAAATCAGTTAAATGAACACATGCACACGCACACGTTTTGTATTGTTTAGATTATCATATCCTTTCACCTTCTCTGTACATAAATGAGCAAAACATTTCAAGCTTGAAATGGGCACTTTGACTATTCTGATAGAGCTTTCCACTTCAGTAGTAGTGACTTGGAAAAGTCATTAGAGGTTACCAATTGCCTTTTTTAAAGTGACCATTCAAAGTTACAACAGTTGGAAAAACCAGATCTCTCATTTTCAGCCATCATACAGGCGTGTGATCACCATTTGCAACCATCACAAGCAGAATTAATAGAGAATGTGGTTGCATAACATGCTGTCTCATTTATTACTGCGATGATTCACTTAATGTCAGAAGTGGAAGTGTTGTAAGGCCAACAGTCACATGATTTCTCATTTAATGACTTGATTCACTTAACAGCGGAAATGGAAATGACATTGCAAGGTCATCACTGTCATTGGGTTTTTGGCTTAGTGACAGAATTGCCAGTCCTAATTACAGTTAATATGCAACGACTGCCTATAGCCAGTAAAGTAGCAGATAATGGGTTTTTATTTTACTCTCTTTGGCTGAAATTAGTTGAAGGGAAATAGGTTTGAGGTAAAGTTGATCAAGCATATGCTAGAGTCAATTTTGATAAGTGAGCTTATTGCTGGATTTAAAGTACTGGATTTAAAGTAATAGCAGTGTTGCTGTTCTTGTGTTTTAATATTTCAGATTGTAAATCAAAATGCATTGCTTTCTTTGTTGAGCCTTACAGACATATTGCCTAATGCAAGCATATATATTGCTTATTCATTAAACACAAACTTAAGCTAATAGCTAGCTACTTGGATTTTTATGCTTGTTTTTGCCTAGTAATGAGGATTTTATAGGGGAAAATTAATGGTTGATTTGTTGGTTGGTTGTTCAGTGGGTATTTTTATGAAGACCAAGGTATAAGAATTTTTGCTTAATTGCTGGTACCATGTTTTGCTATGGTCATTATACATATATTTTACTCTAGGTTAATTTTTTTAAATCATCCTTTTGAACATGGATTCCTTCTTCCATGTTTTTGTAAACCTGTTCCTTACTGCTGACCAATTGAAATGTTTTGGCAAGTCTTTTGGAATATAAAATATCAAGATACTTTGAGTTTTGTTCTGATTTTCAGAACACTTTTTTCTCCATTTAACATACCCCTGCCCCCATAGACTATTCTAAATAACTAGCTGGTTAGGATATTCCTTTTTATATGGCGAAGCCTCCTTCAAACATTGTTGCTATATCTAGCTAAGCCTCCTTTATCTGTTATATAGTAAGGATAGAAGTAGATTGATTCTTTTAACCTCCCTGATTGCTTAAAAATGCCTGAACCTATCAGTTCACAGTCGTTTTAGTGTTTTCATCTCAGTCATGTTTTCTCTTTCTATTTATTTTGTTGCAGGATGGCATTTAGATAACAAGCATGAACGGAATTGGCCTGACCATGATGAAACTTCTAGTGTTAAAAGTGATGGGGCAACTGTTCGTGGTGCTTTCAGGGGCAGAGGACGTGGCCGGGGACGAGGGAGAGGTAGAGGAAGAGGAGGTACTCGGTGTATGTATATTCATAACCACATTTCATGTTTAGAATATTGGTGATGCTGTGGATAAAGAACTGGCAAGCAACATTTTATTTCCACTATGAATATCAGTAATTGAGGATAGCTGATTTGTTTGTGCTAAATTATGACTGAGTATGGTTGGAATCAGTACACCAAGATAAAAGAATTTAAAGTCTTTTCCAAAACCAATGTCTTTTTATTGATTTTTAAGTCCCTTTTTAACCAAAGAATAATATAAGTAAAAGATAATAAATGAATATTAACACAGTAAAACATAATTACACAAAGTATAATTAAATATTAAATAATTAAATTAAAGGAAAAGGAAAGCTTAAGATGATTGATTCTGGCATCCTTTTTGAAAAACCAAGACAAGTGAGCAGTTCTAGAATAAACTTCCCTTGTGAGGAAAAAAAAGTTTCTTATAGTATCTTAAAAGAGTGCCAGTCTTTACAATGCTTCAATAATCTGTCAGTTTTATTGCAAATGACTAATAATTTAAAGTAAAGCGTGCTCCAGGGGTGGCATAAGAAAAGTTATACTGTAAAAGGACTTTTGAAATCTAGTTTTGTAATAAGAGAGGTCCTTCTGCAGATAGTAAACCTTTGGTCCTTAGGCAGCAAGCTTTTGATCCATCTGGTCAGAAGAGTTGTGAAATAGATAAGATAGCTTTGTTTGGGTGTGATGTGTCACTGGTTAACAGCTTATCTGCCATGTTTTATATCACTCTACATTCTCCAGTACCTTTCAAGAGTTTCTAGAAATTAAAGTACATTGCTATTTGACCAATACATAGGGGACTGTTAGCAGATACAGCTGATTCAGAAATAGTTATAGCTGGCACACTGAACATAAATGTGCAAATTTGGTTATTATTGCATTATTGAATTTGGGAGTGCAGGCATTCCCAAACAATACATCTGATTTTTCAGATGTTTAGGGGAATCTTGTGTCCTAACTTTCTACTGACTAGCAACACATTTGTCCTTATTCACACCTCAGCATTATTGAATTCTTGTAACATTATGAGTATGTGCCATATTCTTGGAGTTATGTGACAGGGTGTCAGCAGAATGTCCTATTGGTGATACCTTATTCCAAACCTCAGGGTAACCTTTCCCAATCCTTTCGTTTCAATGAAGAAATGAATATGGGAGAAAATATAGAATTATGTAGATCAACACAGGTCAATGGCCATAATATCAAACAGTAGTCCCCTACCTGGCTATTATATTTTATCTTGGGTGTGTTTGACCAGTGCAATACAGATTTTGTTTGAGAAGAAAAGGTTTTAAAAATGATTCTTTTTATCTTTTCCCTTCTACAGCTCATTTTTATTATCATTATGGATATCGGAAATTTGATGCTTCTGATGGCACACGTACACAGAAATACACTAGTAATATCACTTATTACTTTGATAACATCAGTAGCACTGAGCTCTACAGTGTTGACCAAGAACTGCTCAAAGACTACATAAAACGACAGATGTATGTATTAGTTTTGGTTCTAGGAGTAGTTTTTCAATCTTTTAAAAGCCTTGTTAGATATTTGACAAACCACTTTATTTGGCAGAAAAACTGATTTTATCCATTAAGAAATTGCTAAATAGTCTCTTATTTAGATATATTGTGCTGCCCTTTCCAAAACAAGTAAAATGGCAATTATTGCAGCAGGATCACAGCCTATAATAATAAGCCCTTTCTATAAAATTATTTAGGAGTAGGCAACTGAAAACATTCAAAATAATGGCTGGTATTTAAAGTGGTGATAGCAGCAGAATGCAAGGTTATGTCCAACAGCCAATTGAGAATATAGAAGGAAAAATAAGCAATGTGTAATATAGGATATCTTCTTAGAAACGTATCAGCATATATGTGCCAATTATGTCACTTGCAGGAAAAAGGGTGGAATAAGAGAATTTACTTCTTTTTATATTTCTTTCTTTACTTTCAGTAGCAGCAAGTTTACTAATAACAAAGAGAAATGAATGGCAAGTTTAAGAAATTGGTACTCTCTGGCACAGAGTATGGCAGTGCAACAGGAATAATTCTGATACAATGAATGAGATTATTTTAGGGTAGACATATCTTCTGTTATTATCAAAAAGTATTTCCTTAACCCACATAATATATATTTAAACATAAGTCTGTCTTAGATTGGGACCAGTTTTGAAAACGATGGATATGATATTACTCTTATACTTGAGAGAAACTTTTCTGAAGTGATATTAGTGTAATTTAGCATGTGACACAAATAACTATTTCAATTTCCATTACTTGCTATTTTCAGAGAATACTACTTCAGTGTTGACAATTTGGAAAGAGACTTTTTCTTGAGACGGAAAATGGACACTGAAGGTTTCCTTCCCATCACTCTCATTGCCAGTTTCCATCGGGTGCAGGCCCTAACCACAGATGTTGGCCTTATCATTAAGGTAAGGGATAATCTGTCCACCTGGCTACCTATGTATTTAGACTTGTGTTGTCATTTCACTTTTGGTTATACCATACTATCTCATTCAGTCTTGCACTAAAAACCTATTCCATTGTGATGAAACCTGCAGGAGCAGTGAGGAGGATTTTAACTAAGAGCTTTCTCAGAAAAATGCTTGGATTAAGAGACTGCACTGTCCCAAACTGGGGGAGGGGGAGGCTGAGGGGGTAAAAGGTTCAGGGTAGCCACACCCTAAACTTTCAGGATATATGTCATAAGAAAGTTACAACTTTAGTTTGGCAAGATTCTGTCAATTGGGTGTAAGTAAAGGAGTGGATTGGATCTCACTGTGTCATCTCTGGGCTTGGGCCTAACATCCACTGATACAATGAATGTGTGTCACTTTATGAGTTTGAGTTCATTAAAGCTCTTAAAGCTGCCATGTCATGGTTCTTGAGAGAGATAATCATAGATGTTTTAGATCTCCCATTCCTGTACTGGATTAAGTCAGAAAATGGAAATATTTGCAGGTCATATCTGTGTCTCTTCATTACCCGGATATGCTTGGGAGTAGGAAAGCAAGTATACTAATGCTAAAGTTGGCTTTGTTCCTTTGTCTGCCTTTGGAATGAATGGGATGAGAACATTTAAGAAGGACAGGAAAAGGCCAGAAATGTTTAAAGAAAAAAAAAACCCAACAATTTCCTCAATTTCAGCTATGTTCATATGGCACTGTAAAACATAATTTCTTCATATAAAAACAATAATTTACTTCCTGACTCCTAAATGACTGCAGCATATCTGATAATTTTTAAATTATTTAGTGCTTAATGTTCTTTTAGATTTTTTAAGACTCCTATTTCACTATTAGATAAGAGGTATCTGAGGAATATTTGCACTACCCCTTCTTGCCTTGTTTTAATATATTAATGCTGAAAATGAGGGGTTGTTTTCTAGGCATTAAAAGACAGCAAAGTAGTGGAGATTGTGGACCAGAAAATCAGGAGAAAAGAAGAACCAGAGAAATGGCCTTTGCCTGGCCCTCCCATGACAGACTATACACAAACGGACTTCTCTCAGCTAATCAACTGCCCAGAATTTGTGCCCAGGCAGAACTTCCAAAAAGAGACAGGTCAGTACAAATGGAAAATATGAAAATCAAATATGTTCCACAAAATATGTTGATTTTTGTTGTTGCTACATAATTTGAGATCAAGCCAAACATTTATTTTACAAAACAGCAGCATTACAAAACGTCAACATTTCATTATTTAACCCAGAGTCTCTGGGTTATTAAAGATAATAATTTACCTTACATGGGCATATGTTAACATTTAGTGTTGCTCAAGCTCAGCCTCTAATAAATCCCTCTAATATGGGATTTGATCCTATATGAGAAGGCAAACCTGGCATATATTTCTGAGAACCCTGCAGGGCAAGGAGGAGGAGGAAATGCCTTTCTTGTAAATACGCCCAGTGGGATTTTGGTTGTGGCACCAGCCACAACTTTGTGTTGTGTGCGTGCGTGCTGTTGTCTATCAGGGGACTTTGAAGATTGCCAGAGGCACTATCTCAGATAACCACATGTAATACCTTACCTATAAGGTTGGCTCTAAAAATCAGTTGGGAGTTCAGCTATTGTACCAGTCTTTTTGCTGCATAGCAGTTTCCTTGCCTACTCTGTTTGAGGCTGTCTTTGGCCTGGCAATAGAATTTCCAAGATTTATGATTCTGGGGGAACTTCAGTCTATCATCTTTGGGGAGCAGACTGTATGGAAGTTCATGGCCAGCATGACAACCATGAACCTGACCCAGTTTGTTGCAGGTCTGATCTATGGGAGGGGGAGCACCTGATAGATCTGGCTTTTGTTTTGGGGCACTGGCTGTGTGATTTGGACGTGGGCAATATTATATGTCTTGTCATTGACAGCCCACTGCTTTGTGATTCTGGAATTAGTCTTAGCTCTGAAAGAAGTGGTGGTGTGCCCTATGTCAAGCAATTTGGAGGTACTCCTGCTCAAAGAGCTGAGGGCAGTTGTGTCCAGGGTACTTTTTCTACCTATTCTTGGGCTGGGAGGTTAGTCATTTATCCTTGGTCACCTCCCAATTGGACTGTTACACATAGTTGTACAAGGGGCTGCCCTTGAAAATCATATGGAAGCTTCCATTGGTCCAGAAGGCAGAAGATGGATATCTGAAGGTATATCTCATTATGCCCATGTAACACTGCTGCTTTGCAAGCTGATAGATTTCCAATTGCAATCCAAGTTGCTGGGGATTGTCTTTAAAAACGCTACATTACATAGTACTAGGTTACTCAGTTACTTCTCCCAAGGCTGATTACATGCTCCACATGCTCCCACAGGGAATGCATGCAAGTTTCTTTTATTTAACTCTTGTCATCTTATGGGAACTAGGACCTTTTCTGTGGTTGCCTCTGGTCTTTGGAAAGATTTCCCCTCCCTGACATATAATAGGCCCCAAATTTTGCCTGAGCCTAATGTCTCTTGAAATAAATAAAATTTTGATTACTTCATAGCAGATGTGTCTGAACATTCTATGAAACCTGTTACAATAAAATTTTGTGCATTGAGTAGCAGTAGACTGGGAGTACAACTAGCTTGCTTTGCTCGTGCCAGTTATTGTTCCATTTGGCTTCAGTTATCGGTTGCCAACACCTAAGCATGCAATCTGGATAAAGAGTATCTCAGGTGCATTTTTGTTTGTCTTTGAAAGCTCCCCATTCTGAAATCCTGACATTGGGATGTACAAACTTGCCCCTTATGCTCATGTTATGAGTATGTTGTGAACACATTTTGTAGTGATCAAACAGGTTTCTGTCTGTTTCATAATATGTCTTCCAGTTGTATTTTTCTGATGATAATGCCAAAGCATTCAGATAGGGTTGGACAGGTACTGTATGATGTGTGGGGATTTTGTTAGAAAAGTGGATAAGAAAAAAGATTAAGTAGCCAAGAGCAGGGGTGAAAATTTAAATAACTATTAAGAGTATTAATTCGTTTTATTGTAAGGAATTTGACATCCCATTTGATAAAAAGTAAAGTTGGGTTGGTTTTATAAAAATGAAAGGCCAAGTAAAAATACTGACAAAAATTATATGACACAGTCTACATGTTTTATACATAGTTAATGTAAATTAGAATTAAAATATATAAGTGACATCTTGTTCATTTGTCTAAAAGTTGACTCTCCGGTAGGAGTGCTATTTCTTTATTTCCTTTTCTTCCAAGGCTAATTTATATTATTGAGTTATTTTTGTTGATATTTTGCAAATCAAGTAATTTGCATGTACAGATACTTTATTTAAATACATGTTACAGAATCTGCTCCTGGTTCTCCCCGCTCTGCCAGTCCCATGCTAAGCAAGACAGAGGAAGTTAGTAATTTGAAGACAATGCCTAAAGGTCTGTCTGCCAGCCTGCCTGACTTGGACTCAGAGGCGTGGATTGAAGTGAAGAAGAGGCCTAGGCCATCTCCCATCAGACCCAAGGTAACCAACCAATGAATCACATTGGAGGCCAGACTTTCTACAGGATTTAATGACAGATGTAGTAGATAGATACAGAAGACAGACTTAAAAGTTATTCACAACTAGCAGGGTAAAATCTTTACCTTTTTTTTTTTTAACCTTGCAGAAGATTTTCAAGAGATTGACTAATATAACACTCTAACCTTAATTGCATTAAATATGTTAGATATCTCCACTCTTGGAGATTGGGGTTGAATTCAAAACTCAATAGCTCTGTGTTTGAAATTTGAACCATTTGTGCAACTCCAGTGGTGGACATTTTTTTTTACCTCAGACAGAGAAACTCTGGCAAAGCCACAAAAATAAAAAAGGGATGACAAACAGTCTCCAACGTTGTTGATGTGTTTTACAAGGCTATGGGTTTGTTGGCTTGTTTTAATGCAACTTTTGATTGCCAAAAGTACATACAGGTAATCCTTGTTTAACGAAGGTACCTGGGACCAAAATTTCTTTCACTAAGTGATGTTTTAGTAAAACATTATAACATAGGAGCCCATCATTTAGAAATGGCAATCCTGGCAGTCCCTGGTGCTGTCATTAACTGAATTCATTAGCAAGAACCCACCTGAATCCAAGCCGTTCCTGGCTTGATCTCTCCTGGTCCTGAGCCTTGGTAACGTAAAGGACTGCTTCCTCTGCCCTTTTGGCTGCCTGCTGCCCCTAATGCCTAGCCCTGCCAGTCTTCATACCTCCAGTCAGGATCTTCTTTCATACCATCTTCTTCTTCTTCTGTGGCAGCGGTTGCCAACCGGTGGGCCGCGAGAAAATTTTGGTGGGCCACAGAGAAATCTCACCTCCAGAGCACTCCCCCAAAGCAATTAATCCAGGCTGCGCAGAAACACAAGGCTGTGCTGCCCACATGGCCCGAGGGAACCCTCCCTGCCCACTCACTCCTTACCTGGCAAACTTACCTGCTAAATTGCTATTTTTCCTTTTTCCAACCATCATCTGTTCTGCTGTGCTGGGAGATTTACATTAGCTAGGAAGCAGGAAATGGTTGGATTTCTTGCTTTCTAGCTAGTCTTTAGATCTTCGGCTCGGTTTTTAAGCACAGCCAAACCTCCCTTAGGACTGAAAGTTCTATGATTCAGTGCAGACTCATGGCAAGCAAATTTGAGAGACTAAGCAAGCCGATGGCAGATAGATAGATCACTGAATGATTCTGAGAGCAACTCTATCTGCCTGCCTTCTTTGCCTGATTTTGGGTAAAAGTTGCTCTTTTTTTAAATAAAAAAATCAATGTTTATATACATGGTGTGTTGTGAGTTAATTTTATGAGTTTGCTTGCAAGCAAATTTTATGTGACAGACTGAGCTAGCCAATGGCAGATAGATAGATTTCTGAATGAATCTGTGAGCAACTCAATCTGCTTGCTTTGTCTGATTTTGGGTAAAAGTTGCTCTTTTTTTATAAAAAAATCAATATTTATCTAAATATGTATAATATTTATACACAAGCCATGCCCAGCCAGTCACATGACCACCAAGCCACACCCACAAATTAGGCCATTCCCACAGAACCTGTTAGTGGTCCCTGGGATTTAAAATGAGTTTGGTGGTCCCTGAGATCCAAAAGGTTGGTAACCCCTGTTCCTATGGCACCTCACTTGGGGCTTCCCTCACACCCTGCCCTGGGCTTCTGTTTGTTCACCAGCGAGACCTTCTGTTCATGCTTCACCCAGGGCCTTCTTTCCTGCAAAAAAGGGCTCTGGATAGGACACAAAATAAACCCTAGTTGCAGTGGCACAACTGTGGTTAATGGGAGCAACTAGTGGCAGTAGGTAGGTAAGTGGCCAAAGGTGTTCATAAACCTGAAGTGGCCCTGAATTTGTTTATGAGACCACAAGGGCACTACAGTGACCAAAACTTTGAAGATCAGTCATAAGTTCCTTCGTCTCTACTGTCATCACTTTGAATAGTTATTGAATGAGTGGACATTAAGGACTACCTGTATAGTTCTGCCCTTCTCTTAGTCTTCCTGTGTCGGCTGGTATGTCATGTGATGCAGGATTAAATGAAATGGACTTTGTTTTCAAGCCATCTATCGTAGGTGAAGGTTTTGAGTTACTTATCTTGAGGACAAAATTGAGAATTCATGGCAGTTTTCCTGTGAGTGTTGCAGTACAGCTTAGTGCTCCACCATCTCCTATTTTAACATTATCTCACTTTTACCAGAAAACAGAAGAGTCTAGAACATCACTGAAGCAGAAGGATCAGGATGAACCAGAGGAGTTGGACTTTCTTTTTGATGAGGAAATGGAACAGATGGATGGTCGTAAAAACACCTTCACTGATTGGTCAGATGAGGATTCAGACTATGAGATTGATGACAGGGACGTGAATAAAATTTTGATTGTAACACAGACACCCCCCTATCTACGCCGTCATCCAGGGGGAGACAGAACAGGCAACCACACTTCCAGGGCAAAGATGAGTTCAGAATTGGCCAAAGTGATCAATGATGGACTATATTACTATGAACAGGACCTTTGGACAGAACAGTTTGAACCGGAATATTCTCAGATAAAGGTGAGAATTGGGTTTTATTATCCTATTCAACATGAAATGAATATAGTGTAGATGGGACTAAGCAAATATTTTGAGGCAATTATTAAAATCTGAATCAATATACTAGTACAAAACCATTTTCCCCACCCACCTATATGAATATGCGTATCAGGAAAACTTAACCAAGGGTAGATTTAGAAAGTAGATGTTTACCTATCAGGCATTTCTTTGGTGGGGCTCCTTTAATCATCAGTTAACTTTCTCACGTCTTAATACTTTGGAAAGCTTTACCTTTCATCTTATATCATGGGTGAGGAATTGATTACAAATGTATTTATGAATGCCAGATTGTCTGCAGTTATGCTTCTATTTTGGATGCAATTTCCTTTTGATTAGAACACTTCTATAAAAACCAATATACTCTCAGATAGTGCAATGGCTCAGTGGTTAAAGATGCTGACCTTGTCAGCTGGAAAGCTGACAGTTCAGGTTCCAGATCTGGAACACTACACAACGGGGTGAATTTCCGTCCTTGTCCTGGCTGCTGCCCACCAAGCGGTTTGAAAGCATGCAAATGAGATTAGATAGTTAGCCCCAAAGGTGTTTTCAAAAGGACTTTGTTTTCCCCTGAAGACATTTCGCTTCTCATCCAAGAAGTTTCTTCAGTTCTGAATTGAAGAAGCTTCTTGGATGAGAAGCAGAATGTCTTCAGGGAAAACAAAGCCGAGTTGCCTTTTGAAAAAGCACCTTTGGGGCAACCTTGACCTTGATGACTGAGAATCTCCGTAGACAGATAAATAAGTACCACTTCAGTGGGAAGGTAACAGTGTTCTGTGTCTTTGTGATTCGGTATATAGTCATGCAGGCCGCATGACCATTGAAGTGTCTTTGGACCACACTGGCTCCCTTGGCTAAGAAATGAAGATGAGCACTGCCTCCTAGAGTTGGAAAAGACAGGGGAAACCTTTACCTTTATACTCTCAGACATGTGCATGGCTATACTGTCTGACAAATTAGCTGTTAACTGTATTAGCAGAGTGCTTTGGAGAGGAAGTTCTACCAATTGTTTCCTACTACCGTATAGATTATGATCTCAAGCACACTGGCCACCTGATCATTCTTGGCTACAGAATATTTTTCCTATCTTTTTAGGCATGAATAAATTAAAGGCTTTTTATCAACATAGCATATTAATGAGCAAATGTTTCTTTGGGTTTGTTACAGTGCCTTCTTTGTTGTTTTAATGTAGTTATTATGACTTATTTCAGCTTATATGGTGACTTTATTGTACACCTACTAGAATTATATGACGTGTTATATTTCTGATTTTTGGAGAACAGTTTTCCATCCCTAGTAAGATTCTATATTCTGATCCTGAAAATGTGAGGACACTGTTGCTACATTTATATCATGTCACTGGAGGATGAAATCAGCCAGCTTCTGGTTATAGATTTTAAATAACAAAAGTTACCATCACCTTTGTTCTGTAATAGAATGCTATTACCTTAAATTGATCCCTTTCAATGAAAGAGTATGTCAAACACATATCTTTTTGTCACTTAAAGACTTTTTAAATATGATATATAATTTGTATTTGTTGAAGGATTGGTATAAATTTCCATCACCTTCACCTATTCCCTACAATCTAGACCAGGGGTGTCAAACTCAAGGCCCTTGGGGCTGCCCTGGAAACAGCAAAGGACCGGCCCACGGTGTGTCTGCCAGCAAAAATGAAGCTTGGGAGGGTTGCGGGCAGCCCTCTTGAGCTCAGTTTTCGCTGACAGAGGGTTACAGGAGGCTTTCATAGACAAAAATGGCGCTCGGCATCCTGTTTTCATTGATAGAGGGTTGCGGGAGGCCATTGCAGGCGAAAATGGAACTCGGAAGCCTGTTTTCGCTGGCAAAGTGCTCGTGCCAGCACAGGCACCCCCAGCACGAGTAACGTTGAGCTGGCCATGTCCCCCGGCCATGTTCCCTCCCTGCTGAGGTCAAATACAACCCAGATTTGGTCCTCAATAAAAATGAGTTTGACACCCCTGATCTAGACATGACATTTGTTGTTGTATATACCAGCATTCTAACATATTTTAACAGAAGTTATACAGTGCATTCAGAAAGTATTCTGACCCCCTTCACTTTTTATCAGTTTTGTTATGCTGCAGCCTGATTCTACAGTTGTTGAAATTCACTTTTTCCCCGTCATTAATTTACACTCAGTACCCCATAATGACAAAGTGAAAACAAAATGTTAGAAATGCCTGTAAATTTATTAAATAGAAAAAAACTAAAATATCACATTGGCATAAGTATTCAGAACTTTCACTCAATACTTTGTTGAAGCACCTTTGTCAGCAATTGCAGTCTTGAGTCTTTTGGGGTAAGACGCGACAAGCTTTGCATACCTAGATTGGGGGATTTTCTGCCATTCTGCAAATCCTCTCAAGCTCAGTCAGGTTAGAATGTGACCGTCAGTGGACAGCCATTTTCAGGTCCCTCCGGAGATCTCCCATAGGGTTCAAGTCAGGGTTCTGGCTGGGCCACTCTAGGACATTCACAGAGTTGTCCCTAAGCCACTCCTGTGTTGTCTTATCTGTGCTTAGGATCGTTATCATGTTGGAAAGCAAACCTTTGGCCCAGTCTGAGGTCTGAACGCTGTAGAACAGATTTTCATTGAGGATATCACTGTACATTGCTCCATTCAGCTTTCCCTCAACCCTGACCCGTCTCCCAATCCCTGTTGCCTCCACAGCATAATACTGCCACCACCATGCTTCACTGTTAGGATGATATTGGGCAGGTGATGACCATTGCCTGATTTCCTCCAGACATAATGTTTAGAATTGAAGCCGAACAATCTTTATTTCATCAGACCAGAGAATCTTGTTCCTCACTGTCTGAGAGTCCTTCAGGTACAAGCCTCCCAAGTGGGCTTTCATGAGTTTTGCACTGAGGAGGTACTTCCATCTAGCCTCTCTGTCATAAAGCCCATAAATTGGGGGAGGGTTGCAGTGAGGGATAGATATCCTTCCAGAACTCTGTCCCGTCTTCACACAGGATCTCTGAAGCTCAGTCAGAGTGACCATTGGGTTCTCTTACTAAGGTTTCCCCCCCCCCCCCCAATTGCTCCATTTAATCTGATGGCCAGCTTTTGGAAGAGTGCTGGTTGTGCCAAACTTCCATTGGAGAATTATGGAGGCCCCTGTGCTCTTAGGAAACTTCAGTGCAGAAATTTTATTGTTGTTGCTCCAGATCTGTGCCTTGCAATAATTTTGTCTCTGAACTCGGCAGGCAGCTCCTTTGACCCCATGGCTTTTGCTCTGCTACAGTGTGCATTGGCAGCTGTGAGGCCTTTTATAGAGAGGCTTGTGCCTTTCTAAATCATGTCCGAGCAATGTAAGGTGGACTCCAAAGTGTAGAAACATGTCAGTAACAATCAAGAGAAATGGGAGGCACCTGAGCTACATTCCAAGCGTTGCAAAGGGTCTGAATACTCAAGCCAATTGATATTTCATTTTTTTCTTTTTAATAAATTTACAGACATTTCTAAAATTCTGTTTTCACTTTGTCATTATGGGATACTGAGTGTAGATTAATGAGAAAAAAATCAATATAGAATCAGGCTGAAGCATAACGAAATTGACAAAAGTGAAGGGGGTCTGAACACTTTCCAAATGCACTATATGTGACTCAAAGCATGCCTATTTCTGTATAGAAATTACATTCAGGAACTTGTTTTTTCAGATTTATCTGCTATCCTTGGACTTGCTGCTTTATATAGCCTTTTTTCAGTCCTTTTCTGTAAAGCAGATTCTTATATCATTCTATTGCTGTGTTATTTGCCCCTCTAATTTTTGGTTGGCAAAGGGACTCTGCCCCTTATGTGGAGAAATCAATCTGATCAGCAGCCCTTTCGCTTTCAAAGAGGCTGGCTGAAAAAAAATATTTCCAAAATCTAAGCAGGATTTGGCTCTGCATTTGCAGCCATTCTGCAGAAACGAGAGAATTCCTGTTGTAATTTTGAATGGTTCCAGAACCATTGGTTGTTTTAAAAAAAAGGACTAACTGTAATTGGTGTAAATCCTAATGCTAACAAAAGTACTTTCTACTTGTACTTTGGAAATATGGGAGAAGATGCTAAATTAAAAGTCCAAGGTACCATTTTCTGTAGTAGAGCTGGAATCATCATCAAACCTTGGGTGACATCTTTTGACTATATCTTCATATTAGTTTGCACAAAGATCAATCTGCACTTTAGCTATTCTCTAAAATTGTAATGATTAGCCTTATTGAGTCAACTTTGCTGTTTCTGTGTTAACTTCTTCCTGCAACAATGTCTCAGATATGTTTGAGCTTGCTGGGATAAATGGATTGGGCAACCAAAGTTTTGGTAGGAGTAGTTAATTTATTTCATAATAGGTATTGAACCATCTTCAAAATTTGGAATGTAAAACGAAGATGATTTTTGCTAACCACAATATTGATTGGCTAAAACACATGGCACTAAATTGGGTTGGTAAATAAAGCTCTTACAATATTTCTGGTCTTAAAAGAGATTGGATCGATAATTAAAATTAATGGTGCTTAACAGATTTTACTTGGGTTTTTTGGTAGTCACTAAAGATACTAATTTGGAGCAGATTAAAATAGTTTGTTAAAGTTGTTCTTGGGTTACAACAGCAATTTGAACCAGAATTTCTGCCACAAAGCAATACAGTTGTGAAGTGCAATTTTATCACTTAGTGGTGGCATTGCAACTTGTTATCCCTAATACCAGGACTACATGAGTTGTTAAGTGGGAAGAGGTAAGAATCCCAGAGAAGGAATGTGGGTGTTGTGTGGTTGTATATATTTGCCATGAGCAGGTGTTACAGAGTGCACAAGGTGCTACACAGTGTAGGCAAGGAGGTGCTAGGAGGGAGGGCAGAAGTGGCTGCTGTGGAGGGCGAGATTCCTGGGATCTTGTCTCTGTTTGCAGGGCTCCTTGGGAGAAAAAGTAGCTAGAGCAAGTCATGGGAGCAACTTGTGACTTTCCCTACCAACTACCCAATTCTGTTTGCTCTGGACAGCTGGCAGGAAAGGCCACAAATAATGATCACCTAACTGCAGGATGCTGCAACCATCAGCTGGTTGCCATATGCCTGAATTGCGATCACACAAATGCATGGGTGCTGTGATGGCAGGAACTTAAAGGACCAATCCTATAGGCCGAGGGTGTGAAACCTGCGGCCCGCAAGCTGGATGCATCATGCACAGGCCATGCCACCCCAGCTCCACAAATGGGCAAAACATTGCAAAACATCACGTGACGGCAATGTGACACAGCAAGTTTGACACCTGTGCTATATACTTTCAGTGCCTTTGTAACTTTGAACTGAAAAGTGGTTGTAACCTGAGGACTACCTTACCAGAGATGGCAGTAACATGCTTAGAATAAATAGCAGACTTTTACAGCACTTCACCATTACTTCTAGCTTGATAAAAGAAAATTCAGTGGTGAATAGAGGAAGATTTGTAAAGTACTTTGTGGCATATTATCTGAGGATGTTTATACTAAAATGTAATACAGAATCATTAGATAGTTGTGGGTTCAGTAAAACATAATTGGATAATTGTATTTGAGCTGTTCATACATAGATAAGAGAAAGGCATTAAACTGTCTGTTTTGTATATCATCTCCCCATAGTTGGTTGCTCCTGAAATTTCTCAGTTCCTGAATGTGACTCCAAAGATGAGCTGTCTAAGTATGGAAAAAAATAGTTAAAATAATGTGAAGAGGAAGTGAGAATGTTACTTTCATGAACTCCTTTTATTAATTTTTTAACCTGTCTCTGATGTATGTGAATGGGAGGCAGATATCCAAAAATGAACATTTGTCACAATTTCATTGATTTTAGTCTTTTGTGGAATTCCTTAACTAAACTACAGGGAAGCTTTGTTTTTAAATTCTGATGATTTGTCTTACATTGAGATGGTGAGATACATCACCGTTGATATTTTGAAACTTTATGTGCAGTTATTCTGGATAGTCACCTGTTTAGGGACCCACTTCCTATGTCCCAAATTTACAGAGATTCTTGTGAGGTTTTCACGCTTCTTTGATTTGACAGATATAAAATGTAAATCTCTTCGAGTTGTGTATTTTAATTTCCTTTGTGATCTTTTGAAATGTAGCAAGAAGTAGAAAACTTCAAGAAAGTGAATATGATCAGCAGAGAGCAGTTTGACACACTTACCCCTGAGCCTCCTGTTGATCCAAATCAAGAAGTTCCCCCAGGACCACCCAGGTTCCAGCAAGGTATGGGTTTGCACAGACTCACCTATTAAACACATTTCAGTAGGTGTCTTCCACATAGGATCTTTCGACAGTCAGTCCGCACTGCTGTATTTTTAAACTGTTGCTCTCTGGTTTTCTGGGTTTATTTATTCTATTTTATTTTTTGCTCATAAAGCATCTAGAAGGTCTTCCTATTTTTAATGTTTATCAAATAGATACATCTGCCTATCTTACACAAGGTGACCTTGATCAGCATACATTAAAAATGTTATATATATTTCAGGGTGCAAATCCATCATTTTATGCTTGCTTTTAAAAACTTCGTTGCTTTTTCTTAAAGGGAATTGAAAACAGTTTCTGAGCATGGATGAAGTTTTTATTTTTTTTTCTGTATAAACAACATAGTTTAATCATTACTATTTTTTTTTTCATTGTAGTTCCAACTGATGCTCTGGCAAATAAACTCTTTGGTGTGCCCGAACCTTCAACCATTGCACGATCTCTGCCAACAACAGTGCCAGAATCCCCAAACTACCGCAATGCAAGAACTCCCCGGACCCCTCGTACACCTCAGCTGAAAGACCCCACACAGACACCTCGGTTTTACCCAGTGGTTAAGGAAGGCAGATTGATAGATGCCAAGGTAAGGCCTGCGCATCAGCTCCTTTTATATGCCTATAGATATTGGGTATCTCTTGACACAGCTAGAATTTTTGTGAACTTTTAGTGTTCATACAGAATGTGTCATGTGCTTCTTCTTACAGACACCCCGGAAAAGAAAAACACGGCACAGTTCAAATCCCCCAATGGAATGTCACGTTGGTTGGGTGATGGATTCTCGGGAGCATAGACCTCGAACAGCATCCATCAGGTACTAAAAGGCATGATGATTTTCACTGAAGTTGAAGAACAAAAGATTGGGAGATCCTACTGAAGAAACTGTATGAGTTCTCTTCATTCTCATAAGTCAATGCCCTCTTTACTCAAAACAATTCCTTAATTGGCAATTAAGACTTTTTCAGAAAAAGCTTGTCAGATTACAGTCTGATTGACTGTAATGTGTCTATATTTGTTTTTGAACATTTGAGCAGTTGGTTCTTTTATTGATATTTTTTTTCAAAATTTATCTAGTTCCAGTCCATCAGAAGGCACCCCAGCTATAGGCAGCTATGGCTGTACCCCACAGTCATTGCCTAAGTTCCAGCATCCTTCCCACGAACTCCTGAAAGAGAATGGCTTCACACAACATGTCTACCACAAGTATCGCCGGCGATGCCTTAATGGTAAATTGTGTAGATACTACTGAACTTGTCATGTGTTTGAATTTTGTGCAGGTTATAATGAATAGAGCAGACAGTTTGCCTGTATCTTGGCCAAATTTAGCTTCTTGGCTATATTCTTTGCAAATCTTCATTATTGTTTGAAGTAATAATCTGTAAACTAAATCTGCATGTAGTGCAATGAGCATGGCTTATTGTGAATTGGAGGGGGGGGGGGGACCTTCTCTGTTCTGCATGGTTATCTGTTCACTTGTATAAAGCAATAGGTGAGCATGTAGTTTAATCACTTCTAATTGGTGTGGGCCGTTTTGAAGATAAAGCTTCCATTCATTTAAAGCCAGTCTTTTTCCATTCACTATATAATATCATTTAAGATTACAGTCCTTTGGCTGCTTTATAAATCACATTGCTACAAAAATGTTCTCTATCTGGCTTCAAGATCCAAAGGCTCAGGCATTCAACAGATTTTGTGTATAACAGAAACATAATAATGGAGACTGTGTGTATTTTGTCTTTAGGATGAAATAAAGTATTTTAATTAGCTTGCACTTTAAAATAGTTCGTAAGTGTTTTCTTCTTTGTTTTTATCCAGAACGGAAACGACTGGGCATTGGCCAGTCCCAGGAAATGAATACTCTCTTTAGATTCTGGTCATTTTTCCTCCGGGATCATTTTAACAAGAAAATGTACGAGGAATTTAAGCAACTGGCTCTGGAGGATGCAAAGGAAGGGTACAGGTAGGTCTAAACCTGTTTATTGCATCATTATAGTTGGCATTTTAAATATAGAAAGGGGGACACATGGATCTTGGCATTAGTAAAAAATATGGTAATAGCCCTTTTAAAGGGATATTAGATGGATAATTTGACTTAATCAAATAAACTCATGTAAGAAAAATTAGAGCATCTGAAGGAAGTAGTGGTGTTATAAATAGTATGGTCTTGCAGGTATGGATTGGAGTGCCTCTTCAGATATTACAGTTATGGACTGGAGAAAAAATTCCGGACTGACATATTTAAAGATTTCCAAGAAGAAACTATAAAAGATTTTGAGGCTGGTAAGTGATATTTTTTCTGGTAGCACATACAGAGGCTGATATTTGAGGGAATTTTTATGCAAATAAATTGTGGGACATTTGTCCATAACTATGTAATCTTACTTTAGAATAAATAGTTGGAGTTTTGATTACTCTCTGATTCCAAAACTTTAGTAAGAGAAGCTGCTGACTTCTGAGGCCAAGATCACCTTTAGCTTTATGCTCTTTTGTCTTAAGTAAAGAGAAGGCCAGCTGCTTTCTTGTCCCTTTTGTCTACATGGCTCTGGGTATGTGTATAGCTAATAAAAAGTCTGTTTTCTTGTGTTGCTAAGTTGCCAATTTTTGTCACTCTTAACATTTGCTGAAATGAAATTGCTATGGCTTCCTTTGTGAGATGAGACTTATTCTTAGTTTTTTGTCCCTTGTTAATAGGCCAGCTTTATGGGTTAGAAAAATTTTGGGCCTTCTTAAAATATTCCAAAGCCAAAAACTTGGACATTGACAGCAAATTGCAAGAATACCTCAGCAAATTCCGCCGCCTTGAAGACTTCAGAGTTGATGTGGGTACAAATTACTGTTTCTTCCTTGTAATAAAAATATTTCTAATGATTGTGTTTACTCCAAAGTTTATGGCTATATCAGGCATAATGTGAACAGAGTCGGTTAATAATAATGTGTTTGAAATAATATGAAGTGATAGGGAAATTCGGCTTGTAAATTAATTGCAATCACTGGCTTAAGTGTCTTTGGGCCTGACACACTCTCAGCCAACCCACTTTATAAGATCGTTGCTATGAGGAAAAAGAAGGTAAAATTGGGTTTTACAGGGAAGGTCACAAGTCATGGATACATGATGTCTGCCTTAACAGTGATTCACTTAACGACTGGAAAAAGTACGGTCACATGATGTCTCACTTAAGTGCCACACTAAACAATTTTTCCAGTTTCTATTCTATTTATATTGTGCTTGTAAGCCACAGATTATGTATGTATGTAAAGGGCAAGATAAAAATATATTAATAAATATATTAATAAAAACACTACCAAACAACAATATCTATCTTTGGAAAGAAGTCAGTGGGGGATAAAAATGCTAAATCCAATTTAAACAACTGGTTGACTGTGCATTAAACCATAGTAATAGTAATAAATAACAGCCAGTTTGGTATAGTGGTTAAAGCATCAGGCTAGAGATTATGAGTTGTAGTCCCATTTTAGGCTTGAAAACCAGCTGGGTGGCTTTGGAGCAGTCACTTCTCAGCCCACGACACCAGGCTCAGGAAACAAGCCAGAGTTGGTCAATTCTTGTCCAGCCAATGGATTGAAATTTGATTTAGAAAAAAAAAAGTGAACCCTACACTTGCCTGAAAGTGCTAAGCAGAAAAAACAATAACAGTTATTTAAAAAAATAATAGCCCATTCATATATCTTCTGATAATTTTGAATGAAGGTATGGATATCAAGACTTTAGGAACTAGAATTAGAAACCATATTTTGGAGTGGACTAACATTCCTGAGGGCTCATCCTAGTTTATCCAGTTCTGACATGACAAAGTTGAGTGCTGCAGGTCACTATCCTCTTCAATTTTCTCCTAATTTTTTTTTTCCAAATGACTATAAAATCCCTTAACATTTCAAAGTAGAATGAAAAGATTTTAAGACCTCAGTTTTGAAAGTGTGGGCCAAGCAATAAGTACTAAAGAAAGGTGGGGCTGTGAAGTACTATTATTTTTTAAAAATATTATAACAAAACTCTATATATTTCTATATATTTCTCTTTCTCTCCCTCCCTCCTTCTCTCTCTCTCTTTGTAAATCATGAATCTTGAAGCAATATTGAGATGCTACATAAATTGATCTAATGGCTTTTTTCTCATTTCAGCCTCCTATAGGGGAAGAAAGTAGCCACAAGAGATACGCTGCAACCATAGGAGTGGATGGAAGGAAGCGATACCCATCTCAGTCTTCTAGCAAGACTGTTGACCATACTCTATCCAGTCAAATGTCTGCCTCATCCAGCCAAGTCCCCAACTCATCAAGCCAGGAAGATGCCAAAAACCTGAGCCAGCCACATGCAGTTTCCACAGCCACAGTGGAAACCCAAACAGTGGGGAAGTAGACATACTAGAACTTCCAGTGGAAAAGGGGGCAGGAGTTGGAATGTCAAAGTCCAAGACCAGGCTGCTTTTGGGAGGTGGGGCAATACAGTGCATATGATTTTTCTTGTTGGCTGGAAAAACAAGATGATCCAAGTTGAATGCATCTTTTCCCTCGCTGTGATTAAGTCATTGATTGGAGCCAGACCATCACATTTTCATGTCTTAGCGCCTTTCAGGGGTTAGGTTGGGTTGGGAAAGGGGAGATTTTTTATAAATATAAATATTATATATATATTATATATATATATCAAGTTTTAAATTATTGATAGAAGTTTGTTTGGATAAACCAAAATTACTCTGCATCATGCAGCCTCACAGTCCAGCTCCTTCTCCTCCCTCTGAACACTTAACAACTATGCAGCCCACTTGGTAAGCTGGAAGTTTGGACCGAACAATGTAGTGTTATTTGGAGAACTAGCCTTTGGCTTTCCAAGTTCAGCAGGCATCGCCCCTTCTGGATATAGCAATGTACAAGAGGAGTCTCTGCTACTATCACCACCACTTCTGTTGTGGCTTCCTCTATGTTGCTCATCTTTTCCATCAGACACCTACGACTGGAAATGAACCAAAGGACCCTGGCTGAAAGTGGGCCCACTTACATTGGGCTTGCCCAGTTCTTTTGCGTGATGGGTAGAACATAAACTTGCACAGTGTCTCCCCTCGCATAGGAATGCTAAGACTTGGCTAAAACAGCTTTCACTTAAAAAAAAAAACACAAAACACAAAAAAACTTGTTTAAAAAAAATCTGTTTCTTTTGCTTCCTTCCTTCAAAATTAATAAGTTGCCTTATTGTGGAGTTGGGAACTTGTAGGCATCCCTGACTTGAGCATTTTGGGAAAATGGCATCTCCTTGGGAATCAGCCAGACTGATATATTTCTGTTTCCTGTTCAGTGACTCTTGTCTGCAGTAGCTGATGACTGTCTTCCCTTTAACCCAGCTGTGATCTGCATCAACTGGAACAATATTGTTGAGATCTAGCTGAATGTTGGTTCACACCACACGAACAGCTTCTCTCCAGAGCAGGGGGGATACTGGGACACTTCAGCCTGCAACTTCTGCTATTGTGTAGTTGATGCTGATGTATGTGTATCAACTGTTTTAGTGTCCTTTCTGCTACAACTGCATCTGCCATTGCTTCACTTAGACTTCCAGGTGCACCACCATTTTTTTCTCTCTCCCACCAAGACAGGACAGGATCTCATTTGTTGTTTCATGAAAACTTCCTATTCCAGGATAGGCAGGCAGTTGCACCAGGAAAAGAGTAATACACAGAGTGAGGGTCTAAATACATACATCCTTGCTTTTCATCCATGTGGTTGAAGAATGTGTGTACAGGAAAACAGTTTTATCCTAAACAAAGTAGGATTTTTATGTCCAATCATTTCTGAATTTGAGGTAGCTTACTCGTTTTGATTACTTGCAGAGGATTCCCTTTCTGTATTCTTTCTAACAATAACTATGATAATCTGCCTCCCTTCCCTGGAATGACCATGTAGCCAAGGATGCTGCTGTTTAGACTGTTGGCTAGTTGCAGGCATTACACGTACAGACAAAAAAAAAATCACTTCATGAATTGGAACCATATTTGCTGTGTCACACCACTTTATAGAAAGCACCAAGCTTATCTTGGCTGCTATTGGGCTAACTGCTGGAACTTTCAGAGGCTATTCGCATGGCTGAAATTATGTCCTGAACTATTGGTGTGAACAGCAGAGAAGGAAATACATGCTATATCATGTTTTTGACAACCTGGTTTGTTTCTCTCTGCATTTTGTTAACTTTCCTAATGTTGTATTGGTGTTCTGCAGAAAAATCAGCAGGGGGAGGAAGTTCATTATGTCACCCCTGCTTACCATATAGCTCCAAAAGGGGATAAATGGTAGTAAAAGGGTGCAATACTGTAAACAGGTCCTATGTACTATGTGGTCCTATGTACTATGGCTTAAGTTAAAACAGTCCTCTTCTTCCCCCTCCTTGGTAAAGCATGTGCAGAGAGCTTTTCTGTAATGTTGAGAATCGGTATCCTCCATTCCCTGTACCTCGTGCACTTAGAAAAAGTGGGGCAAGGCAGACTGCATCTTCTGTGAATTCTTCTGCCAGAACTGTCATATATCTTGGCTATTTCCACATTTTAGATTTCATGTTTCAGGTGTATCCTTGATATTAAGTGCTGGAAAGTACTTTTGTGAGACAATAACAGACCTTAAGTCCCGCAGTTTGTCGTTTGGAGCAGATAAGCGTTAATTTAGTGTTTCAAGGAGTGTGATATTAGGGCGGTTCATTGATTTATAACCTCTTGTGGATGGTTTGGTACTAAATACGTAGATAACTAAGGAGATGGGACTTTCTGCCTTGGGTTAGTGCTGTCTGATGTTACTGTTTCTAGCTGTATCAAGCTTGCTTTAATGGGAGTTTGCCACAGAGTATTCATGAGTGATAGTGCAATGGCCACATAAAACACACACTATGGTTCTAGCATGATTGAATAGCATCAGGGTATTGCTTGCTTTCTTTGCTGTGTCACTTGTTATAACAAACCTTCATCTTGTCATTAAGGCATGAGAAATGAAAATGAGCATTCCACTGTTTTCACCAGGTGCAATTACATTGTGATGTTGCAGAGTATGCTGCATTAGGAGAACCATGCTAAAATGGAACTAACAGTTGGGAAAAACACGGCCATTTCATGAATTGACTGAAATCCTTACTATCCCAGGATTTCAATGGGCAGTTAGGCAGGTGGATTGGAATGCCTGTATTTTCATTAGGACTATTGCAACTACAAGATATGCTGCCATGTAGTGTCCATCAGTAATTTTTGCCATGCAAACCTTGTAAACCTAAGTATCATAGTTGCAACATGAAGTAAACCATACCTTTGGGAACTGTGAGATAGAAGCAAATGCTTATGTGTCAAAACCAATGGGATACTTGTTCAAAAGCATTCTTAGAAGCGAGTCTGGACATTTGTTCTGGCAAACACTGAAGAATTGGGCTCTTCTGAATGTGAACGCTGCTATGTGTGGTTATACAAAAGTCACTTTTGCAAATTTAAGATGAGCACTAAGAAAGCAGTAGTAGATTGTAGGAGAAAAAAATAACATTATTAAAAACTTGTGATATCTGTAAGAATGCCACATGATTTTTTATCAATCTGACAATGCTACAGGTTGGACTGTATAAAAGTTTACTTGTTGAGAGAAGTTATCACTGAAAGAAGGTTTGGGAAGATTTATTGAGGACAGACTCTTGCACCAGCTTCGAAAGACATCAGTAGAATACGTTGTAGTCATGTAATTATAGGCTTACCCGTAAGTCAGAAGGCATCACATCAATCCTATAAATAGAAGAGATTTCTTTGGCAAAAATAGGCTCGAATACCTTGTTGGGAAGTGAGTGGATGTTAATAAAATTGTGAGTATGCTATGCTCTCATAACGTGGGAAAGTACCTTCTGGGAACAGAAGCTTTCAGTTGGGATTTAGAAGCTTTCTGTGGTTTTCTAAAGCCTAAGATTACTAAATCTGAGAAAGTTTCTGTTCCCCAGTGCAAAGCAAAAGGCATTTTAAAAATAACTGGTCATTCTGGATAGGTCTAAACGTTTATGGTCGGATAGAAGGGGAAGTTGAAATCTGGCTTAGAATAGACAGGAAAGTAAGTGACCTTTATTATGTGTTGGTGCTGTCATGTCTCTCTACCCCTTTTTGTTCCTCACAATTTTCCAGTTATAGTGCAAAGATTTGTATTTGCCTTTCTTGCTCCTGGCAGCTTGATTGTACTATTAATACACAACATCAAAACCTTTGAGTGCTGCCATACATTTTTGTTCATTTATTTACTTGTTTAAACAGGGCTGGGCTGGGAGTTATTTATGCCTTGCTTATTTTCTTTTGTTAAACAATCAAATGTGTTAATACAACAAATTTTGGTGGTCTCTGTCTATCCATATCAATCTTCTAAAACTTGGATTTGTCAAACGATTAGAAAGGCTTAAGAGGGAATGTATAGTTAGTATTGTTAGATGCCTCCATCTTTAAAAAAATCAGTTTCAAATGAGTGGTTTATTGGGGGTGGGAGAGTTCATCTCAGCAACATGGGTTTGGACACTTTTTTTAAAAAAAATCTCGATACCTTTTCTGCTAGTTTACATTTTCACTTTCTGAAGACACTTGAACATAGGACCGACTTATCTGTGATGAGCATATTCTATGACTGGATACATGAAAAGGGCATGGGCTTAACCATTCCTGTTTGGTTTTACAGATTTCGTTCTTCCAAGTCTGGCCCTCTAAAACCCTCCTTTTCTTTGGTGACATTATTTTTGCATGTATTCATGTTCACAGAAATGACTCATATTTTGGTTATTGTTCTTTTTTCCACATTCTGTATCATGGTACAACAAAATGGCTTGGGCCATTGAGATCCCACAGCTAAGGATATGATATCCTTGGTTTGAGCTTTTGCCCTCCAAGACCACTTTCTGATAATAGCATTTATGTGACGGCCAAATCTTTCCCCTCAAAATTGTTGGATTAATTCCTGCAGTAGTGCACAACTATGATATTTGGAGTTTCACTGGTGTGAAGTCTGTATTAAGCTGCTGAAAATGTTGGATGAACAATCTGGAAAATGTGCCATGATTGTTTGGTACACAGGTGAAACTCTCACAGTAGAAAAGAAAATCTGGTATACTTGCTTTCCGTGAGCAGGATGCATATGTGTGTGTGCTTGCTGCTAAAGACAAACCAAATACGAGTTTGTATTCACTTTCAGCTATATTTATTCTTGGGGGTGGGGTGGGGAATCTTTAAAAACAACTGTTACCATATATCACCTGGGAGGAAAAGATCTTAATATAGCCTACCATGCACAATCCCATCTCCTGTTAATAGTATATAATTCTTGACCCATGTGCTAGGATCATCACATTGGGGAGGGGGGAAAGGAAGAGGAAAATTGTAAAATACTTGAATGAGAGCCTGTATTATAAACAGTAATATTATTCAGAGTATCTGCTTTATAGGCTGATGTGACTCATTATTCTAGTAGTGCTTTTAGTCCTTTGTAATTTGTGGTAATTATGCTTTTTCCTTTTTAATACAAAAATGTATAAAAATAAAAAGCTCAAAAGACCATGTAGTTTCGTTTTCATTGCTTTGATTGCATTCACTGTTCTGTGCCCATTGTGGAAATCCAATCCTCCTATCCTGATCAAATCTTCCATAGGAAAGGACCACTTGATACGGTGTTGTCGGGTAAGAAATTACACTTAATATTCTCAATTTTACTGGTTCTGGGTTGAATGTCCCTGTGCCCTCGCTGCAGAATGAATCTTGACTGCCAGTTCAATTATTTTCAAAATGGCCAAAACTTGTGGCAAGCCGGACACTCAAACTTCTTAGAAATGTTGGTGAAAAGTACTAAGAAGAAAGCGCATACTTAAGATAATTCAGAATAAAAGACATCTCAGTATATCAGGTTCTCTGAGTCCTAGTAACACACACAAACCCTACCTACTCCAGATTTGATTCTGTGCACAAGCAAGAATAAATTCAACCAGGCTCCATTAGTTGCCTAGAGCATGCTAATCTAATAGGCCAAAATTCTTTGCAAAAAATTGACAGCATTAGTCAGCTGAAAAGCAATCTGAGCAATCTTGCCATAAGGAAGGACTGATGATAATTTTCAGGTTAGTCATCTGTCCTGAAACGCAAAACATCTAATGTCTGAACCTAAGTATAGGTCAGGTGGCAGGCTCTCAACACAGGTAGTCCTCAATTTATAATCAATCATTTAGTTACCGATAGAAATTACAAAATTTCTGAAGACTTACAGTTTTCCAGAGGATTTGTGGTATCCCCATGGTCATGTGATCAAAATTCCGACAGCAACTGGCATCTGTTTGACTAGCAATGTATCTGGGGTCATGTGATCACTTTTTGCAACCTGAGAAGGCAACATCAATGAGATTAACTCTCACAACTGCGGTAATTCACTTAACTGGCAAGACAGGTCATAAAATGGGACAAAACTTGCTTGGGCTCAATTGTGGTCATAAGTTGAAGGCTATCTGTAATATGGTATATATCCAAGGTTGCCATGAACTGAACCACTTCAGATCTTTGGCTCTACAATCTTGCAGCAATGGAATCAAGCAGTTTAAAGCAGGAATGTTCTTGAGCAGCAGGGAAGCCAATGCAATTAACGCCCTAGAGACCAGCTTCAACCACAGGGTCTCCCATCCAATTATCTGATTGTATATTAACATGTACTTGAGTACAATTGTTTAATCCGCTGACTCCATCTACAGATGGCATAGTCCAACTTGTATTTTCCCATCTTCTCTACTCATAACAGGATTTATTAATGTCAAAGTACGCTGTTCACTGCATTCCTGTGGTCAACTGAATTACTCAATCTGTATCAAACTGGTTTGGCAAGATTTACTGTTGATAAATCCATTCTGGCTGTTGTAAGCAATCTATTTTGTAAATGCTTACAAATCAAATAAATAAAGTATTCTGCTGATGTGCTGTGGATAATGAGCTAATCGGTATTTAGTTACCCAATTCCTCTTAAAAATAAGAATATTTGCTCTTCTCTATCTGGGAATCCACCTGATTATCCCATTTACAAATCAGGGATCAAGTTGAAAAGGTTACATTGTTATGTTATACATTGATTGTAAGTTTTTATAATAGGTTGAGAGCTTTGTTGATTGTATTTTATTAAAATAGTATCTGTTGCTAAGTTGTTTTCTTGGGAAGAATGCACTTGCTCAGGGATTTTTTTTATTTTCTATAGATAAATTTATTTTCCTTCCTGGAAAGATTTGGTTACACAAATGCTACATTCTGAAACATTTTCAGCATTGCAAAGCACTGCATGGGTCAATCTGTATCAGTTATTTTCAAGTGTACCCACATAGTGAAAAAGTAAACTGGAGTAATACAGAATGACTGGGGTGGGGGGGAATAGAAGGGACAGCAGGTTGCTCTCTTTAAATTGTGCTCTGTAACGGCACATCCCCCAGTACACCTACTTTATGAATCAGCACCCAGACACTGTGCTCAAAATTGCTGATCATCAGCCCCCAAAATCTGAGGGCTCTGGGTAGAATTTCTATTTTTCCCAATAATCTTATTAAAAATTATATTAAACAGGTAAAATACAAGAACCTAATACAAAAATATTAAGTGTGGAAGAATCTTCCAAAGGGAGATAGTAAGAAAAACGAACTCCTTCATTCATGGCAAATATATTTAACATTACCTTATCACTGTCTCTTAAAATACATCTTCACTCTATGCAATACATTTGCTATAAACTGATCTCTTAATCTTCAGCTTCTATCAACCAGCAAAGGTTCAGTAAAAATGAACAGAAATACCTAACAAGTAGTATATAATAATCCCTCTCTCAATTTAATCTACATCCTACTCATCCCTCCCTTAATGTGTAGAAATTTTAGGAACCTGAAATAAAACCCATTAGGTTTCAAAAGGGCTTATTTCATAGTTGATAACTGTTTTGCATGCCATCAAGTCAGATTTTTCCGAAGTGAATTATCACTGTCTGCTTTGCAGAGCGAAGAGAGTGACTGGCCCAAAATCATTCACGGATTCCGTGCCTAAAGTGGGACTGGAACTTAAGTCACTCCGTTTTTCACTTGATGCCTTAAACCACCAGACCAAACGCTTTCAGGGCTGACGTAATTCTATGCAACTATTTTTAGCCTAGATTGGGTTGGCTCCTGTCAAGAGGTTTAAATACTTTTAATTTACTACGGTTTACACTTAAGGAAACATGAAATGACAGCTAGATAAGGAATCCAGTTGTGTGGTTAATATGAGCACAGATCTTCCCCGGGATATGGCCCCGCGCAATTCAATGGATCTTGTAAAAGGATCTTTAACCTCGCAAACTTGGGGTAAAGACAGCTTTATCTGCTGCCCCAACATACTAGAAGGGGACACCGATTCACTTCTATGGATGTGAACTAGATTGCCTTCATTGCTACGGCGTACTAGCTTAAAGTTACCAGGCACGCGTTAGCAAAACCCGAGAGTTATTAAGTGCAAAGGCCAAACCGCCTTGCATTAGCCGTATATGAGATCCACGCAACATACAAACGTGACCATCATTGGCGCTTTTCACTGGTTAATAAACACAAGTCAGAACAGGGTGCGCATTAGTCACTGGGCAGCCACGCTGGCCATGCGCATGAGCAATACTGCAGCCTTTTCGTCTTTCCGGGATTTTCCGAGGCGCCCGGAAGTTTTTTGCCTGAAAAGGGTCAGTAGGCTCTATTGCAAAGCGCATGCGTGCAAGGAAGGGAGAAAGCGGGAAAAAATTATATATATATCCCTCAAACCATCGAGCGATGTAAAAACAAACAAACAAACAAAAAAAGGCCAGGCTAGAGCGGCTTCTAACCGAGACCACGAAGGCGGCGGGGAAAGGGGGCGATAACGGTCCGCCGCTCGATTCTCCCGGTGAGGCGGCGTGCGCGCGCAGCGGGTGGGGTGGGGTGGGGTTGGGTGGCTTCCTTTTCGAGCGCAGGCCCGGAGCGGAAGGGCCCGAAAGTCCGGGGCGGAGCAGATCTTTTGTTTTTGCAGACCGGATGTCCTGGGTCTTCGGGAAGGCGTTTGGTTTCGCTCGCTCTCGTAGTTCGATTTCCCAGAGGCGTCGGAGTGGCGGGCGGGGGGCGAGGCGGGGGCTGCTGCTGTTGCTGCGGGGGAGGAAGCCGAGCATCCCCGGGAGCCGGTGCCCACGGTGATTTGCCTGCCTCCTTCCTACTGAGCCCTCTCAGCGAGCCGGGGCAGAAATTGAGAAGCCAGATCCTCTTTGACTTAACGCTGGGAAGCCTTAAAATGGAAGGCTCCGTTTTTGAAAGAGGAGATCGAAACGGCCTGGCAGATGCTTCTTGCTTGAGGAGAAACAAACAGTGCCTCATGGGGCCGTGTTCCATCGGACAGATATCGCTGGCTGAGGTGACGGGGATTGCCGGACAGCAGTTAACACCCGATCCCTCAGTGTGGCCCCGGGTTAAATCCCCCCCCCATTCCGTCCCGGGGAAACTGAGCCTTGGAAAGGCGGAGTTTCCTGGGCCCAATTCGTATTTGGGATAGAAAGAAGGAAGCTTTGTTGTTGTTGAGGTTGCGGCCGATTGTCCAGGGAAGGTGGATTCAAAAACCTTTGCCGGTTTGCATTGGGCGGGCCGGATTGGCGGCCGTCGCTCAGAAATAGGAGATGAAGTGCTTGGGAGGGGGAGAAAAGTTTGTCTCCTAGTTGAAGGAATTTTTTTTAAGGAGGCCTGCTGAAAACATTGTGTGTGTATGTGTACAGGTGTGTGTGTTTTTTTTAACAGGATACACATTAAAGTTCGAGGAAAAATATGGGTATTCCTTTACACAGGCTACATCCCATTTTTCTGCTCAGAAGAGCAGGGATGGGAGATGAACATTTTTTTAAAAGAAATATACTGAAAATTAAAAATTAAAATAAATTAATAATTGGTGAAAGTTGTACCTTTATTTTAATTTATTAAATATCTAATCTGCATAGTTTTAATATGTTTACTTCTAGTTATCTTTTTATAATAAAGTAAGCCTTCCGTAGTTACCTTATGCAGGAAATGGGTGGCATGAAAATTTAATATTATAATGTAATATAATTTATAGCATACACGTAATCCTCAACTTATGATTACAATTGAGCCGAGAATTTATATTGAGAAATTTGTTAAGTGAGTTTTGCCCCATTTTATGACTTGTATTTTGCCAGATTTGTTATAATTGAATCACACCGCAGTTGTTAAATTAGTAACATGGTTGTTAAGTGAATCTGGCTTCCCCATTGATTTTGCTTGTCAGAAGGTCACAAAAATTATCCACATGACCTCTGGACACTGCAACCATTATAAACATGAAATAGGTGTCAACCATCCCAATGTAAATCACATGATTAGGATTCTGCAATGGTCATAAAAGTGAAAAAATGATCATAAGTCACATTTTTAGTGCCATTATAACTTCAAACGGTCACTAAATGAACTGTTGTAAGTTGAGGACTACCTGTATATATAGTAATTTAATGTTGAGAGGTTAGAATCAAATACATCTCTAGAGAAG